TCTTTGTTTCCGGAATGTCAACCCGGCACTCGTCCGCCCGCGGCGCTGCGAAGGGCTCGGAGAACCACCTGGTGTCGAGCCCTCGGTATCCGCCTGCGACACGCCTGAGACTGATCTTGCAGTTGGCGTTGACGCCTTGCGGAAGACGGCGAGTCGATATCGATCCACAACCCCGCGGGCAAACAGACTCGTTCCTTTGGCACCATTCCGGTCCTCCCCGTCGACGGAATCGATAAAGTCCCAGTCATCGTCCTCATCATCCACTTCGTCCTCCTTCTCTGTGGCGATATCGTCTTCGACAAGACGACGATCCAAGGCAGGCACACCGGACTTCTCGCGCCGCGCCGGACGGTTGACGCGGTTGACTGGTTTCGTCGCAGGGACCGCAACAGGCGCTTTCGGTGGAACCTCTGGTACAGCGCGTGGTTCCTTCTCGGGCACAGGCGGAGGCGGAACATGTGAAAGGTCTTTGCTTCGCCTTGGTTTGGGCTGTTCTTCTCTTGGAGGCGGGGCAGGTGGCACAATTTCCGTTTCTGGCTCTGGCTCTGGACCTCGCGGTTCCTCCGTAATCCCATCTTCCTCCTCCAACGGCGGTACTTGCTCAGCAGGCACCACTGGTCGTGCCTCCGGCGTCTTGGGCTCTGCATCCTCCTCCAGTCCCTCGACTGTATCTTCCGCATCGCCGCTCTCGACCGTCTCTTTGGGCGCCTCCGGCTCCAACCGCACATCCACATCCCTCAGTATGTCACCCTCCTCATCTTCATCCTCGTCCTCCTCGCCACTACCTTGCTCACTTCCGCTACCATCCTCCTCATCCTCATCATCAATGAGGACTGAATGCCTCCCTTTGAACGAGTATCCATCGAACACATCAACGGATTCATCTTCTTCCTTCGTCCCAGCGGTCTGTCCGTTCGTGGACTGCGGGGTCGGGTGTATCGACGAGCTGCGCGACTGCGACGGCGTCGTATTTGTTTCCTCCCCGTCTGTCGGCTCCGGGTCAGTTGCAGGCTCCTGGTCCGTGTCCATCGCGTCGTCATCCGCCGCGTCCAGTACAGGTTCCATGTCCAGGAAGGTGTCGTCAAAGTTCTGGGTATCGCTCGCGTTGGAGGGGTCAATAGGAGGAATATACGGGGCTGCAAAGGCGTCAAACAAGAATAGAAAACAAGACATGAACTGGACAAACGTATGTAGCGTTTATAATATACATGGGACCAGTCTCTAATAGAGAGGCGTCAGTGAAATTCGATGAGCCGCAACATAAACGCACATCATGGAGAAGTAGGGATGCCGTTTTATCCGCGGTTCACACATTCGGAGTCCTGGATTCCGTTGAAGGAGCTGAAAGAGGGTTAGAGCCATATCAAGCCAACTGTAGATAGACTAAACTCACCCCGCGAATCAAACTCTTAGTGTCTTGGTCGATCGCCCGGTCATCGGGGAACTGCAGCTCATCCTGCAGGACACGGACGTACATATCAGAGTGATTGTTGGCCCAGAACGGGGTCTGTGGGAGTAGTCAGTGATTGGCCAATAACAACATGACAAAGACACGTACGATCCCGGTCAACATCTCGTACAACATGGTCCCGAAGCTCCACCAGTCGACTTCATAGCTGTATGCGAGCCCTTGAATGACTTCTGGCGCCAGATACTCGGCTGTCCCACAAAAGGTCGTCGTCGTATCAACCGCTGCGCCGCCTCCTTGCTGGCCAGGCCATCCAGCCGCGAGCTCTCCGCCCTTCTCCGCACGCATCCACGGGGGCGTCGCTGGCAGTGCACCCGTACTCCCGAATTCGCGTGAACCGGAAGGTGTCGGGGGTGCGGTCGTAGCCATGGTATGCCGTGGGAACTCTTTAGAGAGACCGAAATCCGTGAGGACAATGTGCCCATCTGCACCGATGAGAATATTTTCCGGTTTGAGATCGCGGTAGATGACGCCTGCGGCATGCAGACCCTCGACGCCCTCTACGATCTCAGCAGCGTAGAACCGTGCGCGATCGCGTCCCAGACGACCCCAGCGAGCGAGTTGTGTGGCCAGGTCGCCGCCGGGATGAAAGTCCATGACGAGGAACAAGTTCTCCTTGTCGTGGAAGCTCCACCACAGCTTCACCACAAACGGGTCCTTGTTCTCCGCTGCCATACGTTTGAGGACGGCCTGCTCAGTGAGGGTGTGCTGGAGCTCCTGATGGGCGAGAACGTGCCGTTTCGTAATGGCCTTGAGTGCATACAGATCCGAGGTCGTCTTGTGCTTGACGAGCAGGACCTTGCCCGCGCAGCCCTTGCCCAACACACGCATCATGTCAAAGTCGTCAATGACGACCTTGCGTGTGCTCTTCCGGGGCACAGACAAGCCCCGCAACTTCTTCTTGGAGCGGCGCTTCTTGGGGTGCGAGTCGTTGCCGGTCGTCGAGATGCTCGAGTCATCCTCTGTTTCGCCCGTCTGCGACGAAGTCATGTCCTCTGGGTCGGTCTGCTCTTCCTGGCTAGTGAAGACGCGGGAGAAGCGATAGGACTTGTCTGGGTCGGCGGACTGCGAGCGAGGTATCCGTGCAGCCTCGGGAACTGGGAGCGCCGATGTAGGGTCTGGTTCCGGCACTGCATCCTGGGAAGACGAAGGTTGAGGTTCAGGTTGCTGCTCTTTAGCAATGTCGTCCGTTGTCGGTGTGGGCTCAGGCGTCTCGTCTTCCTTGATCCCAACTTCAACCGCAATATTTTCCTTGCCACGCATACCGCCGCCAGTGTGAGATGCAAGATCACTGCGGACACGCTTGATAGCGCGTTCGACACGGACACTCTCGAGATCGTCTGTCCGCACCCGCACGAAACGTTTCCAAACGCGGGCAGTGCGGATAGCGGGAGCGTTGCTGGCGGTGGTGAGATATGCGGCCAACGCTGTGCTGATGCCAGATGCCGTCGAGGGAGGCACAGATCCCTCGCTGCTAGGGCCAAAGGAGAGGAACGGGTCGTTGGCCTCGACCTGGGGCGACGACACGGCGGATGGACGCTTTGTGGCCGACGACGGGGCACGTGCGATGCGGTTAACGTTGGGAGACGCGAGGCGGGAGAGGGTGTTGAGGAAGGCCGACTTTGTTTTGCGTTTCGTCGGGGCATGAGTATCGAAGGGCAAATCGGGCAATTGGGTTGCTGGGTGAGCTTCTCGCAGCTTGCGATCGAGGTCGACGAGTTCCTGGGCGGTGCGGGTGAGGGTGAGGTTGTGTGTCGGAGCTGGGAAGAGAGTGGATAAGTTGTGGGAGACAGCTGAGTGGCTGGGTACACACTCTTTATGTAGATGCTGTAAGAACGCTGGTCGTCGGGAGATTCGGCGACGCTGACGCTCCAGGGACCGTCTTGCTGGTTGATTCTCGGGCGGCGGGCGACGTCCATTGTGTTAGGGTCAGTGGGGATGTTGGCGTCTACAAAGACGAAGTCCTGTACGGGTGGGCGGCTTGTCCTGAGTTTGCGACGGGGGTCCGTCACCGTGCTGAACCGAGGGTTGCTTTGCATCCCATCCAACAAAAAAAACAATTAGGTTGGTGTTCCCCACGAGGTAGTGTGCCGTCCGGTTGCCTCGAGGCGTGAATCACGGGTCTCGGCGATTGCGAGTATAGAGAGAAAAGGTTGTGGAAGCAGCAACGATATGCTGCTAATTCGAGAGAGCGTAGACGGAGTTGGCGGAAGTTAAGAGCAACGAGGGTAATCACGCGAGGACACCCAAATTGAGCAACTATTGCCTTTTTCCTCCATCCTCCACCAAACACTCAGAGTGCTTCGCTCAGACCAGCTGAGCAGAACTTCCTAGTCGTAACACCGTCCGCAGCCAACCAACCCTCGGTGCCTGTAGGCCCGACGCCGTAAGCAGTAGCAACCATTCCAACCGCGGTCAAGCTCTCATCATCTTCGCCGTCCTACTCGCAGCGAACTCGATTCAAGCCCAGTACGCGGTCCGACTTTCAAGTCTAAGACAACTCGAGTCTAGTCAGAAAACTGCTTGCATGCTGGCTGGTCCTTGCCCGAACTGAATCTTCTCTCCTTCTTGATCACTAGACGGCAACCCATCGATTAGACAGCCATCTGCAAGAGAAACAACGCCGTGATGCACTGCCCACCCGTAAATGAACTGCTGCAGCGTGAAGTGATACTGGGCAAAACTTTAAACTTGGAATCGAGGATCAAGTCATGTCCGAGCGGTCCCGGACCTCTCCATTTCACCCAGCAAGCTTACTTTCATTCACCAAGCTATCCCACTCGCTCTAAACGCCCCAAGTATGCTGACGGGGTGTCCATGACCGGCATTTTTCCGTGGCTCACAAATCCATATACATTCGCGGCCAGTCGCGGAGGACTACGTGGCTACATATGTCCGATTTGCAATTGTTGACGAAATCTGTGCACGATCATTGGACCTCCGAGTCGTTGTTTCGAAGATGTGTTCCCTCCTTCGAACTGGATCCTGGACAGCAGACACATCTACTGCTTCCATAGCCAATTCAACTGACATCGAGTACGAAAGCTCGGTGTTTGCCGTTTACAGTCGAGCCATCCGACAAAGCTATCGGTGCCTTGATATCTGCCGGCGCTAGCGCTTACTGTACTATTTTGACCTTAAGTTCAGAGTTTTTTTTCATGCCCGAATTTTTTTTTCTTCTGATTTTAGACGAATAAAAACGAGGGCTTTTTTCTGGAACTTACGCATTACGCGAACTTAAGGTCGAAATAGTACAGTTACAGTAAGCCTGAGGGTGACAGCCCTTGTTTGTCTCTTGAGCGCAAGGTGAAGGCACTGGATCTGGTGTTGCCTGTGGCATGGATGTTGTGCAACCGCGCTCTGTTGAGGGTGAGCACCAAAATGCAATGGAGACAGTAGTGCACCAGGGTAATAATGACCTCAGGTATGGTAATAATGCAAAGGATTGGACAATCCGCACGCATAAGTTTGGGCGGCAAGCTGCGCGGAAGGGTCTAAAAGGTTCTGCTGTGACTGGAAATGTGCAAAAGCATGACCAGAGTGGGATTCGAACCCACGCCCCGAAAGACCAGATTATCGAATATTCGACAAGGTGTACTGCAGATGCAACTGGCCTTAGTCTGGCGCCTTAGACCGCTCGGCCATCTGGCGATAAATGCGTTGGAAACATGAAGGAGATGACCTGACACGACCGCAGCGCAAAAACGAGAGCAAACGATGAAGCCGTCGTTGAGATAGCGGTATTTGATGAATGGTGGGTATCCGTATTCTCCATTACTTACACTGTCTTGTCATGGAGAGAGCTGGAGAGAGTGCCAGGCCCCCGCTACCAATCAAAATCAATCAAACCATCAAATCATCACTATAAGAACTCACTGCCAGCGCGACACCTCTTTCATCCCTCCATCACCTTGTTGGTCTGGCCAACCGTAATTCAAGTGGGAGGGGTCCTTTGGGTTGTTGGATGCTTGCTGTGAGGAGGCGGCACCCAGGTGCAGAACGCCAAATCCAGTGGGTGCAGCGGTGTTTAGTTTGGGACGCGCGAACGCTGACCAGCTCTGAAATGCCGTTGCGAGCCATCTTTTGGTTCATTGTTGGGCTCTGGGGGTTTTCTTCTGGGTTTCATCCCTGCCTTCAGCATCTATGTTGGGCGTACTCAAGTCTCCGCGTCTATGCAGAGCAAGTTTTATTTTGGTTCACCGTTGGGCTCTGGGGGTTTTGACTTGGTTCGTTTGGGCTCTTGGTTTCTTCGCAAGTGTGCAAGGCTTGGCGAGCTTCATTCGGGCTCTGGCTGTTCATACACATTCTCTGTATGCACTTTCTTCATATTTCCTCCTTCTTTGCTAATGTCTCCAATGTAGGCAGGGAAGGGCTTCACGGAGAACTCGGAGTGCGTCTTCTACCTCTGACTCTACATATTATCATTCTAATTTGTTTCGTAGGCACGTACTCCTCCTTCCCTGGCGTACCTACCATATTCTGTACATCATTGCCCTGGCTCTGCATCTTTGCCGTTGAGGATTTGTGCGCATAAATCCTCAACGGCAAAGATGCACAGGAAATACCAGAGCCGACAGCCAGCGACTATGGGACATCCGATTGGCCGATGCATCCAGTATCAAGGACGAAGGAGGACAACATGATGGGAGGTTTTCGTCGTTTGTGTTGTAACGGAAACTGAGATGGATTTTTTGTTTATTCTCCTACATGTGCGTGGTTATATTTCTACAGCTTCACACTGTGCCAGGAAGAATTCACGCATCGGGAACGCCACCGTGACATCAGCTTCTTGGCAGTTTCTGCTCAATAAGCTTTTGTCTCCAACGATCACCGTCTCAACGAGACCGCCTGCTCCCCATGGCCAACGGGCATCGAGAAATCGTTACCTGTGGCTGGACTGCCCAGCTGTAAGGCTCGACCTAGTCGTGCCAGTGCGCTTGGGCAGAAGGTTCGAGTCGAAGAGCTGCTGTACACGGCAAACGGGTATCGAGAAATTGGTATCTTGAACGCAGTGTCTTTCAAAATCGTTCGTCATCTCGTCGTTGTCCTCACCGTCGTCGCTGACTCGCGTTTTCAGACCACGCCTCGAAACAACGCCTAGTTGGAGCCTTCCCGTTGGCTACGCCGACGACACACATTCTAGCAAGCTGTTCAGCACCCACAACGGAGCTGGCCGCCGCTACGACGACAACGACGACCTCAAATATCCGACCGCACCAAGTCCGGCTACGTCTCGACAGACTACGACCGTGCGAGCGCGTGCGACCCATAAGCTCCGCATACAAGCAATCTTCTATACTGCCGCACGCTCCCTCATTCCATCCACAAACCACTGTTAAAAGTGGCTTTTCTTCCCTTTGCATTTCTGTAACCACTCAAAAGTGGTTTCTCTGTCTGCCACGCGATACCACCGTTAAAGGTTGTTTCCTAGTTTTTCCAGACCACTGCCAAGTTGGTCCTTTATACTAGCTATCTCGTGGAGCCTCCTCACTGCAAGAAACCTAGCCGTTGTGGCGAACGACTCGGAACGAGTCACCATGTCACTGCTTGAGGTATGTCATCGTATTTTCTGTCCGTCTTCCTCAGCTCTGAAGCGGATATCTAGCTCTCTGCTTTCGGGCATGAATATTGCGTGTCCACAGATCGTGCTGACCATATGTTCAACCGCCTTCGCCTCGAGCTCGAGACGCTGCATGCGAGCACGGCTGCGCAGCCTATCGAGATTGGGAAGTACATCCTCGCGCGGCTGGAGCAGCTGAAAGTCAAGGTCCGCTTCCACCTCCTCGAATCGTGGGATGCCCCCGAAGCTGATTACCTTGTAGCAAATGTTTGGTGTCTCGGGCGACTTTAACCTCGGGTTCCTCGATCTCGTCGAAGCGGACTCGTCGATTAACTGGGTCGGGAACTGGTGAGTGAGCAAGTCTCGAGTCTACTCCTCGAGGCTGATGTGTTTGTGAAAGCAACGAACTGAATGCGGCCAATGCCGCCCATGGATATGTGCGCGTGAAGGAAAATTGCATTGGGGTCGTCCTCACAACATCCGTGGTCTCCCTGTTGCACGCAATTCCTTCTCTGATCCCACTACTACCACCACAGCTTCGGCGTCGGAGAGCTCTCTGCCATAAACGGTATCGCAGGCGCGTTCTCTGAGATGGTCCCGGTCCTGCATATCGTCGGTGTACCTAGCACAGCGCAGCAGGAGAACAAGACACTGCTCCATCATACGCTGGGCGACGGAAGGTGCGTTTGCGGGTACTTGTAGAGCTGGGTCTGAAGCGACTTGCAGATACGACGCGTACATCAAGGCGGCGGAAAATGTCACGATTGCTCAAGGGATTATCACGAACGCGGAGAGTGCGGCAGCGACGTTGGATCGTGTCTTGGTGGAATGCATGACGAAGGTGGGTTTTCCCGATGCAGACTTGACTATGTCGTCTGACGCTGCGTGCATAGGCCCGCCCTGTGTACCTCACCATCCCGACCAACCTTGTCTACACCAAGATTTCCTCTGACAGACTGAAGGTCCCGCTTTCGAATGTCCACCCGCCGAACGACGCCGAGGTCCAGAAAGCTGTCATTGAAGAGATCGTCAAGCTCGTGGATAGCGCTAGTGCGAACGACAGCGTGGTCATACCTGTGGACGTCTGTGCCGTTCGCCATGACACCAGAGCCGAGGTCAATGAGCTGGTGCGGAAGACTCGGTTCCCCGTTTACGCGGCTCCAATGGGAAAGACGGTCGTCCCGGAGGATTACAAGCGGTATAGTGGGGCGAGTGCCCGCGATTTCGTCGTCTCTTGGCGGACAATGACCTTGGGCAGATATACCTCGGGTCTATCAGGGAACCAGCTGGATACAAAGAAACTTTTCCTCGGTGGACGACCTACTCCCATCCATCGCCCCCATGGCTGACCGGCGCGGACACTGGTGATGCAATTCGCGCTGGTCGTAGTGGGGGAGTAGACCGCGCTTTGACTATAGTGGAGATTTTCACCTGTGTCGTGTGGTATCGACGCTCATTGCAAGTTCCTTGTCGACTTGGCCGTAATTGTCACCACGCTGCCTTCAAGATTCTGCCCCACATCCATTTACGAGGAATCTAGAGTGAGCGGGCGGTGGATGGGAACGACGCCAGGACTGACGCTGTTTGAGCCTTTGAGGTCGTGTGAGCGGAGCAGCAGCCGATGAACTGTGTATTAGCGCGGCATATAACCAACTTTCGTTCGTTTACGAACAATTGGCCGTGGCCAATAATCCTTTGCCGCCATCAGACCCAACAATCAGGGCCTGCAGGCAGCACGGAAGCAATTGCCTGTTGTTCTGTAACCGCCACCATACCACCTCGCCGTCTGCCTCAAATATGGATGTTGCAGCTGTGGACGCTGAGAAGAAGGGACGAATAGTTACGGTACGTTCTCCTTCAGACCTGTCCGAGCGTCGAGTCTGACTGAACTAGATGTTTTACGCAGAATAGACGTTGATTTTATCGACGACTGAACGTTTCGATATACCACTCCCGCAAGAGTTTCTCAAATTCAAGCTCGCGCCCGACTACTATCAGCCAGCATCATGGCCGCCCACCTTCAAACCAAATAACTCGAACGTGAATAGTGAGCGTTGGGTGAGCCGAGGAATTGTATCATGGCCGCCCACCTTCAAAACCAAATAACTCGAGCGTGAATAGTGAGCGTTGGTTGAGCCGAGGAACTTTTTAGGGGCTGCGGAAGAAGCACAGCGGATAAAGACGAAAACAGCCGTGACGCATGGTCGCGGTCGTGTTCGCGTCTTCCTTCTCCTCTCTCTCGAGACGCTTTCGCATCTCTCTCCCTCTTTCTTTCCTTCCACTGTATTTCTGTATTATTTGACCACAATTAATGGCAAAACGAAAGGTATGCAACGCGTTCGAAGCACTGAGACGCGTCGCTCATATGTTTCTTCAGACTGTTAATGATTCTGACGACAACGACGACAACGACCTCCCCGGCCCTTCGAGACCTCCTCCGAAGCCGACGAATGTATGCAAACCTCACACGATGCGTCGCTCACTCACTCTCTCCTAGAGAGGCGCCGAATTGGGCGACACTCCAATTGCTTCTTCCTCCAAGCATGAGCGCGTTGCCCGCAAACTCAAGACGAAGGTTTGTCCACAAATTATGTCTCATTATTGCTCTGACATGCTGCATAGACAGAGCTCGCGGCGATGAAATCCAATCCGTCGACCAAGAGGAAGAAGGAAAACAGGGTATGTATCTCCCTTTGCTCCACGATCTTGTTCACCGCCTTGTTCAGGGTGCTGCAACGAACCAGAAGGGAAAGGCAAAAGCGGTGTGTATCATTGCGGTATTGTTTGCATCTCTGAGTTTTTGACAGATTGACGACGATGACGAGATGGATGTGGACGAAGCGGAGGTTCCTCCCCTCGTGCGTCGCTGCCCACTCGTTTGGTATTTTATTGCTCACTAGATATTAGGACACTGACATCAATGCTGCATGGAGATTCAAGCGGAGCACCGAGTACGACCCTGCTGCCGAGCTGCGGAAACTTCCGGCTGTCGGACGGGCCCAAGCTTCGCGGGTCGGTGCCGATTGGATTCGCAATTTTGAAGAACTCGGGCGGCCAGAACTCGCGCGTCGGCAGGCGGCTGACAAGACCT